AATTTTAATTCCTATCGAATCATCAATTTTTTTCAACAAGGTTCGTTAGAAGCAAATGTCAATTTCGACCGTTAAAATTTCTTGCCTTTGACGAGAATGCATGTATAATGTACGCATGCCATGGCTTTTTAACACAAAAGCTTTTACGCGGGACGTCTAACGAGCACTTAAGTGGCGACGGTTGAACTTAAAAATGTCATAAGATGGCATTGTACGCAGCGACCACTCGTCGGCCCGTTGGCGCGTACACGATAGCATATTGTTTAACGAAAGAGAATATATATACTGCTCTGGGAGCTTTTGTGAAAAAAAAATATATATGCCAAGCGCGAGAATTGCAGAGACGGGCCCGCCGGCCATGGGAGGGTTATTACATGCCCTCGCATATATATAAAATACACTTTTCGCATATGTACTACACTCACATAGATTTTATATATACAAATGCGTGTGAGGACCATACATGCGTAATGTGTTAAAGGAACCTCTTGAGATTCGTCAGTTGCTGTAGGTGATTGACGCGAAAAATTGCGATCAATTCCCACACACGGTGGGACCTACCGGGAGAGAGACAGAGAGAGATCGACCCGGGTGCATGAAGTAGCGTCAAATCACGGGGCCTCATTCGAGAGAAGTCAGTGAATTAGTCACAGATCGCTAATCCGCATCTACAAATCGCCCTTTCAGGCATTCAAATATTTTATGGTAACAAAGAGTCAATTGACGCTGAGGGCTAACGATTTTACAGGTTGTGTTTTGATTTTCACACAAGATTTTCTTAATTTATGCGCCACTATATTCGGTCCTCTACTATTTAATTTTATCAAAGCCCAGATTTTTAGAAAGAAACCTTTTTTCTGAAGTATTGCTGGATGTTTAGTTTGGTCTGACATTTATAAAACTTGTATAGGTCTGTCTGCAATTGCAATAGAGTGCAGGGTTGGGAAGGTGAAATTTCAATTCATTTAAAGGTACATTTACACTAACTCTTTAACATCAAATAGAACGGAATTGTATTAATTTTATTAACTATTAAGGGGTCTTCCATAAAATAATCAAATAATAAAGCAAATAAATAAATAATATTAAATAATTAAGTGAATAGGTAAATGAACCCAAAACTTTTTGTTTGGAACAGAAGTTCCCCGAGCTGAAGAAAAATATACAAAAAATAGTTTCACATGTCGAAGTGCATGGAATAATTACTATATGAGTGAATGATTTCCAGACGAAAATAGCGATATTTCCGGGAGAGTGGACAAGTCAGGGTGAGAGTGAAGGAATTGAGGTGGGCCAGACGGGGGGCCATGGTTCGCATGGGGGGCCCAACCGCGAGTCACTGACTAAAGACTGTCACAAGTGGTGCGGGACATTATCGACAGACGGGTGCCCCGCGCGGGAACGATCGCGGGGGGCCGCCTCTCGTCACCTTTTACTTCTCGGTGGTAACTCGTCAAAAATCTCCACACAACCAGATATACCCAAGAAATCTTATTTTCTTACCGAAAAAAATTTACATATTTTCGAATATGGAATTCATCCTAATAAAAGAAATTCCACTTAACATTTTTATAATTAGTAAATTAGTAAAAGTTACTAATTAGTTTAAGGTAAAAATAGTTGTAATTAAAAACATTCTGACAGAAATGACACGACTTTTCAAATAAGTACCTACTACCAAATCTTGTAGCGAACTTAACATTAGCTAGAAAAAAATAGAAAACTCTTTCTCTCTCCTTTTCTCTCTCAAAATTTCCATTTTCAAAAAGAAAAAATAAGAAATGAATGTCAAGGATAAGTTAAAATTTTTGCAAATTGAGAACATTGAGAGTAAATGGGTGCAGAGGGTCAATCAAATTAGAATTTTAGAGAATTCTGTCGGTCTTTTTGCAACCCTGAGCGAAATCCGAACACTTGAGGGAGACGTAAGGGTCTGCTGCATTGTGTCCTATATATAGCGACGGGAACTTGAAGCATATAAGAGTGTAGAGTGAGTCGAGACCACAACGACTATACACACATATATATATAGTAAAAAAACGGGGTAGATCTGTACGCGGATAACGCTTTATTTCATCAAAAATGGGGGAAGGGGGTAAAAACCGAGATAACGCTATGTATGCTGTAGGGCGGATGGTGTGCAATCCTTGTTCAATGATCCGAAACCCACATCTCAATTGAGATAGGGCACTTTATGTGCAATCTCATTCTGATCACTATTTCAATTCTTCCAAGTCACAGTTAGAGGCTTTTAATAAAAGGAAAAAAGAAATACTTTTCTGAGGTCTTTTAAATAGTTCTTTCTGATATGACTTTAAAAAAATGTTAAAGTTAATGTTTAATATATTTATAAATAACGAATCCTTTTTTTCAATCGAAAATCTTTCAGCTTAAGGCTACTCTTTTATACTAGAACCTAAACAGCGCGCCCACTTCTATTTTAATATGAAACTTTACTAAATTTCACATTACTTTTTTTAAAGTTTTGTATAAAATAGTATAAAATAAAAATTAACTCCTATTGGACATTTGAAACATAACCTATAAGTTTTTGCCTCTAAGTTCTTTCATCATCTTAATATATAAGGGCTTATAAAGGGCTTAAATCAGAAATATAGGCTAGAGAAGTAAATTTTTCTTGTAAGTTAAAATAAATCGAATAAAAGTATTGTAAATTTCAATCAAGAATTTGGTCGATAAAAAAGAAAAGAAAAATTAATTTAGAGGGGCAAAGTCAGAGAGTGAGAAAGAGTCATGTAAAGGTGAGTAGTTCTCTAAGTACTTATAGTACTTGGAATATATATAGTATATAGAACTATAGAGCATATTCTGTGTGTATATATAAAGATAGGGTACCAGCTACACCTGGACCTTCTTCTTCAAGGGTGTACAAGAGCTCTCTCTGCTTCCACTTCACAACTCAACCATCCAACGTCCTGGCTTTACAAGCCTTTACAATGATATATTTATTTTTACTTACACAAACAGTAGTCCTTAAACGGCTCCTACTTATCGTTTAGTATATTTCTTTCAAATTATTTATTACCACCTAATTACTAAAACTTCCGATCTATCACTGTCTGTGCTTTTATACTAATTCTTATTTCTTTCCTTTTCAGAAACCTCAAGTTAGCGTCAATTTTGAGCCTCAGAAAAAAATCTTTTGCCTACAAACCGGAAAGGCAGCATTAATGCATCTGGCTGTACTCTAGAAAAGTTAACTCCCTAGCTGTCCCTAGAAATCCCTAGGTACCCCTAGATGAATAAAGGTACCGTCCCATGACGGCGTAAAAGCGTCGGCGTAAAGCAGAAATCGTGCGATAGAAAGAGATGAACAGATATCACGTTCTCACTCACTCACATGGTTTACGCTTTACGCCGACGCTTTCACGCCATCATGGGACGGTACCTTAAAAGAGTCGAATTTAGTAAAATTTTGGGTTTTAGATCTCTAAAAACCAGAATAATTAGTTTTTGAAGCTGAATCGACGCTAACTTTTGGTACATGCTTTTTATAAATATTTTACTGTATTTTAAATTATTAATAATTTTATAATTTTAAAATCAAATTCGGATTTCTTTAAATTGGATAAAAAATAAGAAAAATTGTAGATTGCAATTACCTGGACGCGTATATAGTGTACGTGGTTGGGAAAAAAAATGCCAACAAGGGGATCGTCCCGAAGAGGTTAGGGTTGCGATCGAGCACTTGAGCACGAGCCCCAGAAGAAATGCGGGGAGAACAATGGGCAGAGGTAGCCAGAAGCTGGTGCTGTGTCATCCCAGTGTCTGAGCCCACCTCCTACGACGTGGTGGTAACGATGTACGCGTCTACCATGACTTGGAGTCTCTGATGTCTAGGGGTGAAGGGGCAAAATTATACTTTGCTACTCAACTTCGTCGAAACAAGAGAAAGCAAAAAACACACACACACGTCAGACCACCCAAAATGACATCAAATTCCTCTTTAAATCTTCTAAATGAATTTCATTTTTTTCCTACTAAAGTTTCTAAATTCTGAACGTTCACTTTTTCTAAGGATATGAAATTGAGACAAAAAACGAAGTGAAAGGTTGCGATGCAACACTTACTTGTATAAATCTCGACGCAGCATGTCTGATAGTAGATTCTCGATGAGTTTATGGTAGTAGTTTATAGTAGTTTCTCGAAGTTTATGGACGACAACTTATTAGCTTTCATAATCGAAGCATATAGATTTTTACGATTTGTTTCTAAAGAATAACCCTCTGTTAATTTCAACATCTTCTTTTTGTCGTCGTCTATTACGTACCTGAAACAGAAAATAAACATTAGAATAAAGAAATCGAAAGAATACTCATTATACTGTCTAGTATCAAATAAAACAAAACGATTAATAGGTAAAATAAAAAATATTTTTACGCTGTACTCTCAACTATAAAAAAATGTCTCAAAAGTTAAGTTAAATTTTTCATTCGATCAAAAATAGTACCTTTTCTACCATAAATGTAAAAATATTTCTCGATGAATAAAAAGAAGTATCGCCAATACCTGCGGAGATATTGAGAAATTGAATTTTAGCACAATTTTTGCCTTTCACTTCTCACGTAGTGCTCTTATCTCACGGTAGGATGCGGACGTATAGGTTCCATATTTCGGGGTGACGATGGAGCGAGAAAGAAAGGCAGAAAAAAAGGAAGAACGAAGAGAGGAGAGGAGAGGAGAGAACAAGAGCACAGCTCGCTATTATTTTCTCAAGTGGCACTCTCTGGTTCAATGCTCGCTGGCTTGCTCTGCAACCAGATGTGCACGAACTCAAAAAAGAAAAAAAAGAGTGAGAGACAATCTGGTCATTTTAACAATTTCTCAATTAATACCAAAAATTAATATCAAACCTTACTTACCAATTCAAAAAACATCTCCTTTTCTCTAATAATAAATCTGAAAAAAAATTTGGAAATTCGAGGATAATAACATTTTTTTGAAACTTAATGAAATCAAACCAAAATAATAAAAATACATTTTTTACCTATTTATGCTGACATTTTTTATTTCATTTTCCTCCCTCGCTCTTCTTCCGACATATAATTTTAGCTTATCTGGCATATATGATTTAACGTGCAACTCAAAACGGAGTAAAAGTTCAGTCGATTCTCGAAAATACTTCACATCCACTCTATATACTTTTATAAGAAACATTTTTCATTAAACTAAATATTATGTCGTAGAATTACAAACTAAACTGAAATACCACTTAATTACATAAATTATCATTCATTATGAATTGAAAAAAAATTATTTCCCACTACCTTAATTAATTATAAATACATAATTCAATTTGAACTCTCATTCACAAAAATTGTGACAAATTCAAAATATTCGAATTTGCTATTATGTATAACAATTCACTGTTTTCCTAAAGATCTGAAACACAAAAAACGTATCAAAACTTTGTATCACAACAATTTTTGATACTTTTTTTTTATCCCAAATCCTTAGAATAACGGTAACTCGCTCTGAAGAAAGATACCAAAGAAGTAAAAAATTCTAGGTTATGTTTGTAATTTTTTGAATGAAAATACAAAAGAGGAATCAAGTTTCAATTTATAAATCACTGATGTTTGTCTTCATTGCATCTGAAATAATAAAAACTGATATTGTCTTAAATTCTAAACAGAAATCTTTAATTAAGGTAAATAAACAAACATAACCTTAAAATTCTTTGCTTCTTAGCTACCTTTCTTCAGAGCGTGTCACATTGTAATGTCCAATATTTTATAGACAATAAACATCTCACATTTATTCCTAATGAATAAATTTACAATTAATGAAAAAATAGAGTGGATTTTGTCGGAATTAAAAAAAAATTGTTTTTGCTATAAAAAAACCGATGTCTCGAAAATATTTTCAACTCTAATTAAATAATAACTTTTTTTGAGATACTTAAAAATTAATGATTATCATTAATCCTAAATAAAAGTATCAAAAAATATTTTTATAATCTCCGAGAGTAAAATTCAATGTCTCGATGACGTAAATTGATTAATTATAAGTAAAATATTCGCTTTTCTTAACGAATTAAATCGCAATACTTACATTTAATTTACAATATTAGTCACTCTCGCTCTATTATTAATGAATTTTCCACGTTCAATTCACGCATAAAAAAAATTGCACGCCAAAAATATGAACAAAAAGAAAAATATAAGAAATCATCTTTGGCTTATCTTCGTCTATAGCCTCCGGAATTATTGTTACCACCCCTTCCACCATATGGATGATTATTAGATCGATTCTGTAAAATAAAAACCAAATTCACTCGAATTTCTTTCAATTTTGTGTTTTTAACTATTATATACTACTTAAATATATTTAGTTTATTTTAAATATTTAAATTCTTGCAAAAATGTAAATAAAAAAAGGGATTTTCTTATTACCGTCGTTTTAGTGCAAATTCCAAGTCTGGCGATAATTTTTCTGGTTATGCCAAAACTTCTTTTCATCTTAAAGGTGCTACTAGAGTAATTTTTTCACATAGGCCAAAGTATACAAATCATATTTTTATAAACTCGAGCAACAAATTTGCGAATATTTTTCAAATTTTAAACGTTTTTAAGCGAATCCTATATAAAATATTAAATTCCATCCACCATTTTTAATTCGCTATTAAAATTTCAAAATTTTCACTTTATGCTTACAATTAACCGACTCGAAAAATCCCAAAAACCGAATTTCAAGGTAATGCAATTAATTTTTTAAAATTATTCCGGAATTTTGAAAATTGACGCCAAATTCGTAATCAATGACCCCAAAAACCCCCAAGTATGAAATTTCGAGCGAAGTGGATAAATTTAAAAAATATCCACCATTTCGTGTCCGCCATATTGGATCCACCATTTTGAATTTAAACAATTTATTTAATTGTTATGTAATTTTAACTTATAAATATTAGTCCATGGTCGAAATTTTAAAATTAACGCGCGTTTTACCATTGTAGTATACAATGTACCCAAAAAGTCCGTTTTTTTGAGGTTAGAAATATAAGAAAAAATCAAACAACGAATGAACTTTTAATAAAGGGTATTCAGCGACCAAAAATATTTTTAAAAATACTTGAAACCTTTTCAAAACTCAATTATTTCTAAAATTCATGCTTCAATGCATTTAATATTCTATTATCTAAAATTTTAACTAAAATTAATTATTAAATCAATTTTTATTAGAAAATTCCATGAGAATTCAATTATTTAAATACAAAAATAAATAATTTAATAAATAAAATATTCAAATGTTGAATGTTTCTTAAAATTTAATTTTCATAAAGAATTTTATCAATAAATTTTTAAATTAAATTCTTTTGACGAATTTTAATAAAATTTTTAAGAATAATTACATTTTTCGACGAATTCGATTAAAATTGTATTAAAAATAATTGAAATTCCGCGATAAATTTAATTATTTAAAAAAATTAATGAATTCCAAAAAAGAATTTTACTACTTAAGAAAATATTTGAATTATTGCGAAGAAATTTATGAAAAATTTGTAAATAATTGAATTCCTGTAAAATTTGTATTATATATATGAAAATGATTAAATTTTAACGCAGAATTTTATCAACACTAATTTAAATAATTGAATTCTTTTTGAAAAATTTATTAAAATCATAAATATTAAAAATCATTGAATTGAAGAAAATTTTTTTGAAAATAATTGAAATTTTACCAAGAATTTTATTAAAATTCAAATTTATATTTGAAAATGATTGAATTTCGGAGAAAAATTTTATGATTTATAAAAATAATTGAAATTTTGACGAGAATTTAAAAAAAATTTTTAACATAATTGAATTTTTGCGAAGAATCTTATTACTTTTAAAAATAATAATTGAATTTCTGCAATCATTTTGTAACTTCTCCAAAATTCGAATTTTTTTTAGTATTTTTAACTAAAATTCTTGGATATAACCATTATTTTTAATAACTAATTAAATATATATATTTAAAAATGTATCTAATTTCAGAGAAATTTGAATTATTAAAATTTTTTTGCAAAAATCTAACTTCTTTCAATTTCAATTCATTCAAATAACTGAAATTTTATAAAATTTCAAATTAAAACCTTTTGAAGTTCATCTATTTATGAAAATTGTAAACGCAACTCTTTTTAAATTCAATTAATTTTGAAATATTTAAGTAAAATTGTTCATTAAATAATTTCTAAGCCGTAATAATTTTATGATAGTTCCTCAAGAATTAAGTAATTTGAAAAAAAATTGTTGTCAGAAATAGAAAAATTTGAAGGCTTTGTATTAGAATTAGTGGTAATTTCATAGTTTAGGCATACAAAAGTACAGTAAAATTCAGATTTTATTTAAAATAGAAATAATAATCTCGAAAATATTCCTAAAATAGTGCGAAAATCGATCCACTTTAGAAAGTGGATCAATTTTTCTATAAATATAACGAATATAAGTGAATTAGAATCCACTCATATTTGTGGAAACTCTTTTTATTTGAGATGAAAGATGTTTTAAAGTATAATATTATCAACTTTGCAGTACTCACTGAAAATGAAGATTCCCAGGATTGAGATGGTCCACGACCTTGTTGTTGTTGCTGTCCTCCTCGATTTTGTTGATTATTCGACTGGTAATTGTAATTATTAGACCAGGCGGGACTTGGCAACTGTCCTCGTTGACTTTGATAACCCGACTGACCAGAATTGCTTCGATGATCGTGTCGATGATTCTGATTAGACTGATAGCCGTGACGATTCTGATGATTTGAAGAACTCTGATAATCCCTTTGCCTCGAGTCGCTGGAGTGCTGCGAATTGTAACGTCCACCAGATGATCCCGAACTGTATCCACTTTGATAGCCTGAAATCAAAAATACATTTCACAATATATTAATTTATTTTATTATAATTTATTTATTTTCTATTCTATAAAAATACATTTTTATTTTAATACTTTACTTGAAAATCAAAAATTACGATTTTTAGGCGAAAAAATAATCAGAGTGGGCGAAACAATCAAAAGGAAATTAAGGGTTCCTTCTGGGCAATAAAAACAAGCGATCAATTAAGAGTCAGAAAAGACAAATTGCAGTTCATAAACATGGTTTGTGAAAAAAGGAGAGAGAGGAGAGAGAGAGAGAGAAACCTTAGAACGATTGTAGACTGCTTTCTCATTGTAGGTATACGTACAACATGATATTAAAGTTGAATGGGAGCGTGCCGGCCGCGTGTCTTGTTCATATGCGTCGTGAGATGAGGAGCACGTATGTTTGCCAGCATCACGAAACGTCATAATATGACCGACGTTCACGATGCTAATAACGAATTGTCCAAACTCGCAAAGGGCAACGGGACATCGACGCCTTTCGTCAAAACCTAACTCGCACCCATCGTTTACAATTGTTATTGTTGTTATTGCCGGCCGCGCAAAATAATTGCGACTCCTTCCCACTTTGATTTGTCAACTATTTATTTTCTAATTGATCCAGAAATCATTTTTACACGCTTTTTAACATTTTTTCTTCTCAATTTGATATCCTCATAGAAAAACTGTAAAACGAAACAATTTTAACAAAATAGAAAATCGAAAAACCACAATAGGAGTAAAAATAACAGAAGATTTGAGTATATGTATTTTTATACCCAATGCGGAAAAAAGAATAAGTAGAAGAGAACTTCCTTTAATCGGAACTAATTGCTACCTGACCGGTGGGGTTGAAACGGTTATAGTTCGAGGATTCAGGAACCGTAGACGGTGGGCACTATTATCATAAACGCAACAATAACGAGGGATGATCCGTCGAGTAAACTGTTGGACCCCTTTTTCCGAGGCGAGGGTGAGGATTACCAGTTTCTACCCCCAAATACCCTACACGACGACAAGAATCCGAATCCCTCTGCGGAATTCAAAGGAGAATAAAGGTGCGGAGAGAGGGCGGCGGTGGGGTTGTGTTATTGTTGCCGTTGATAGAGAAGGAAAGCACAAAAATAACGCTTGTCGAAAGTGATGCGAGAGGCATTTTCGGCGATAGTTTCTCAACATGAGAATCTCTGATGATAGATCAAAATAGCACATATATTGATATTACAACCATATTAGTTCTATTCTGTCCTTTTCTATCATTATGGTAGAACTTCTATTCTGTCCTATTCTATCGTGATGATAGTTCTTCCATTCTGTCTTTTTCCATCGTGATGATAGAACTTCCATTCTTTCCTTTTCTATCATGATGATGACAGAATGGAAGTGGAAATGGAATCAACAACCCACCCTAATAGAGTCCCGTATTTATCGCATTCTATTAGGAGCTATCGGATTAGCATGCGTCATTGCCGCTGAAAGAAAAATACACACGCTTCATTTCATTGCGCATATATAGGATCCGATTCAAGACTTAGGATCAGATTTTAGGTCAACTTTATAGCGAAAAACATCCAATTCATTCAGGTTATTAAATAAAAATTAATAATTAATAAAATGAATAAAATTTACAGAAAGCTTAACCTTTCCTGCTTCCAAGGGTTAGAAGCAAAATTTAAATTTAAAAAATTGAAGAGAGGAATTTTGATTAAATTCTACATTGTTCCAATACTATTTATGGGCGTTTCGAATGTCTCTGCTCGACAAAAGGTATGGAACCTATATCTATGTATGTATTTATATATCTATATGTATTTGAATATATGTATATATATATTGACGTGAGCCCAGTATACCTATACTATATACGGGTATTGGATTGAATTGGATCGCCGCGTCAGCAATACAAACACTTGAAGCATCGATGTGGCTCGACTAGCGGTTGCTGTTCGATTCTCTTTCTCTCTTACTCTCCTGTTTCCCAACTGAAATTACATTTTCCCACTACTTCCCTACAGTTTCAATATCGTTCTTCCTTTTTTTCATTTTTTTTATTCTTTTTTTATATTTTGTTGAGCCATCAAGTGCATAAGTGGTACATGTATAGTGATTGGTTTTCTACAAACTCAAAAAATATTATCAAGAGACATTTCATTAATGAAAGTTCAAAAAAGAAGTTGCCAACTCAATATTTCTTTTTTACTAAATTAGCTATTTGTTTGTAAATTACTGAATCTATCGAATTTTACCCAAAACTAATAAATATATTTATTGATTTTTGAGTCACTAAAAGGGACCTTAGGCCTAAAAAGTTTAGGGATCACAATTCTTTTGCAGATTTGAAATTGAAAAATTGAATTTAAAATGAATCAAAACGTTTTGATTCGTATTTCGTCTCAATTTGATATCTAATACAGAAAAACTGTGATCCTAAAGTTATACTTTTTTCGTGAAGTGTCATAAGTGGGAAATAAATTTTTACTAATTTAAAAATTTTAACTAGTATTTTCAAGGCAGCATCTAATAAAGTATATATATAGAAAAGATAAATTGTTCACAAGTGTGTTGTAAAAGGGACAGAGGCACTATTTAACATTATTTACACGTTTAACACATTTGGGTAAACAAAATTGAGTGGAGAAGGTTTTGGCACTTTTTCTTAACCATATTGCGTATATTGAACCAAGGTGCTCGCCATGTAAGAGGACACATATTTAGCTTTCCTTAAGTTCACCACGTGCCTTTACAATGTTTACCTACAGATACCTAAGCACATAAAGCGAGAGATGTAAGGTACTGCTTAAGAAAAATACGCGAGTCATAAATATACTCCTATATCTTCGATTGCCCACTTGACAAAGTTGTTACAAGCCACAACAATTTTCCAAAAAGAACCAATCATCAGAAATATACTTTGGTCCTCTTTTTAATATATCTAAGTCTATTTCTACAAAAGAAGCTAATTTGACTAGAAGACATTATTTTAAAAAAATTTATAAACAGTAGAGTTCAAAAGGTATGGTCCAACGTTAACTACGTTCCTCTCTATTAATTTTTATCACTTCGAATGTATTGTCTTTTCTTGTTTTCAAAGAATAACCTTTAACTTACCTACTGTCAACGTGGTCCAACGTTGACTACGTTCCTCTCTATTAATTTTTATCTATTGTCTTTTCTTGTTTTCAAAAATAACTTTTAACTTACCTATACTGCTATTAACAAAAATCATTTTTGTTCTGAGTATAACCGTTTTTAAACTATTTCTTCTGTACGAAAATCGAATTTTCTGTTTTGAAAATAAAATTCTTCTTCCATAAGCGATTTTGAAATTTTCTCGTCAGAAGATTCATTTTCGCCGCTTTTCTCGTCTCGTATACGGAGTGCAAAAAAAGGCACCGCAGAAACTTGAGATTTTTCCTTATACACAGACGACTGTAATGGAGGTCCTCGAAATCTCAGTAGCGCACCCTGGTCGAAACAAAACGGCAAAGAAACGAGAGACGGAGACGTTTACCGCGCACTATATATACCTCACTCTGCTGCGATTTGCTCAAGAGGAAAATACACCACCTCGCAAGGAGCGCGAGGGTGCGGTTCGTCGGAGCATGCCACTGTGACTGCATTTTCTTACTTTTTTCTGTTGCAGAAATTTGTATACTCTCATATTCAAAATTGTAGAAAATTTCTGAATCTCTCACATGAAGATGAGCTAATAACTTTCTTTTTACATAAATTAAAATTTAAGGCTTATAAGTCTTATTCTTTAGGTTAATAAAAGCTTATAAAGCGAAGATGCTATGAAAAAAGATGCAAAATCTCAAAAAGGAATCATAAAAATCGTTATATATACATGAAGCAGTTACAGAAACATATCTTTATAGCATCAGAAACCGTTTGTACCACATTCGAAGTACAAACACGAATCCTATTGTTCAAAGTACCCACAACAACCCGAGAGTATTCAATTTAAACGATCTTATCAAAATCGCATGTATGATGAGTTGTATAATAAAGACCTTCTAATTAGCCCATAATGGTTTCAAAGCACCAACTACTGATTCAACTAACGGATTCAAATTAAGACCACCAGAGATGGTTTTCAATTAAAATCTCCTGTTTTAATGAAAAGCCACTTTCAAGAATACTTTTTATTCCCGAAGGGATGAAACATCATTCATTAGCCCATGTTTTGTATAAATTGATATTTCTAAAGCAGTATTCCAGAAGAAAGAAAAGAGCGAATAGTAATTAGATTACAATAAATATCGACTATATTCTCAATCAGTTAGCGCACACACGCCCTCTCTGTAACTAATTCCGAGTGCATTTAATGACTATGTGCCGCAAGGCTTGGCCGACAAAGTATAGCGTGTGGCAAATAGTGATGTGGGGTGTGGGACGGCACGAAGCACTTGAGTTTCGTTGGTGCGGGATGTGGGAGGTTTTCGCTGCGCGCGGAAGGGAATGTACGTTTCGCAATGAGACAGAAAGAGAGGAAATTTTCCAGAGAATGAGAAAGAAAGAAAGAGTAATGCTCAAGTGGAGTGAGAGAGAGAGAGGGGAGGGTAAAACACTTGACCCTGCTTGCTGCTGATGCTGTGCCAGCAAAACTCGACGTCGGAGCGCGAACGCGCGTTAATAAATGCGAGGGTGTATATGTGGTGGGGAATAACCTATACCAAACTGTAATTTCTGTCTCCGTTGCATCATATATCCTTTATCTCGACAATTCTCTACGTACACAAGTAGCGCATGCGTTAAATTCAATTTCCAATTTTGGTCTGAAAGCGAATAACAAATTAACAAAAATCATCAGAATTTGACGGATCAATAAAACCTTTGTTAAATTGATAAATGCAACATTAGCATCTATTAGCCATTCCTAGCATCTAGTAACCATACGGTTAATAGCAATCGCCATTTGGCTAATAGATGCTACAAGGAACATCAAATGTTGCTAATAGGCTACAAGGAATACAAAAAAAATTCTATAGGGGAGA